TTTTTTCTCCCGGATGTTTTCCTGGACAGCTCCTTGGCTCTCTTAAATGCCCCCTTCTCACCCTGGCCCCAGTTAGTTATTTTCTCTCTTCTTGCAGAGGGGATGTTTTCTGAGGCAAGGGCCAGGTAAACATCTGGCTAGCAGACTGGTTGACATCTGCTTGAAAAAGAAATAGCCTTCTTATCTTCCCAAGAATTGCAGACAAGCATATTACGATTAGGCTACATCCCCAGCCCCACATTATTATTATTAAATATTGTTATTTTGAAATAGGTTCTCCCGTAGCCCAGGCTGAACCTGGAACTCACTATGTAGCCAAGGATGGCTTTGTCTTCCTGTCCTGCTCCACCTCCCACCTCTGTAAAATCTATGCATAGATTTTTTTTTCTTGTCATATTCCTTAAGCAACTGTTTTCATATCATTTATTTATTTGTTTTTATAAGATTTGTTTTTAATTATGTGTGTCTGTTTGCCACACATGTGAGGGTGCTCCCAGAGGGCAAAATATAGTATTAGACTCCCTGGAGCAGGAGCTACAGGCAGTTGTGAGATTACTGTGGGTGCTGAGAGATGAAATCAGGTCCTCCACAAAAACAGTGTTCTTCACTGCTGAACCATCTCTCCATCCCCTTCTTTTTCTTTTTTCCCACTTATTTTTCTCCCCCCCCCAATATGTTTGACCTTCTGATTAGTTGTATCCACAGACATGGACACTGTGTGTATGGAGAGGCAGGGGTATCTTGTATAATAGCGTTTCTACAGGAGGTATTGTTTTCCACGTTCAAGAAGAGCCATGTAAGCCACAGGGATAGCTATCTTAATATCCGAGCCCCAGTCCCTTCCTCAGAGGCAACCATTACTTTAAAGCGTGTGCAGCTAGTCTGTGTATACAGACATGAATGAACACACACACACACACACACACACACACACACACACACACACACAGAATTCATTCTTCCTTTTATAGGTAATATATTTCATTCATTGCCCACTCTTATTTCCTATTTACAAATTTTTTCTTAGATATCGGAGATCTTTCTGTATCAGTTTATCAACAACTTCCTCATTCCTTTTAACACAAAGTTGAAGAATACTTTGTTGCCTTGATGCCCCCATTAACTCACTCAATCCCTTTGGTGGAATACTTCGGGTAGTTCCAAAGTTCCCTTTCTTTCTTTTCTTTCTTTCTTTCTTTCTTTCTTTCTTTCTTTCTTTCTTTCTTTCTTTCTTTCTTTCTTTCTTTCTTTCTTTCTTTCTTTCTTTCTTT